CAGAGGGACATTTTCCCCCTGGGGATTAAATAAAGTATATCTATCTATCTATCTATCTATCTATCTATCTATCTATCTACATTTAAACTTTAAAGGAAACAACCTTTAACAGAGTGAAAAAATGTTGTGCTGCTGATGCTGATCTGAAAAGTCAAATAAAGCCAAGCCAGACATGAGAAGTGAAACTAGAAATACAGTCTCACCAGCTGTGCCTGAGCAGATTTGTGTTTCTGACATTTTAAAGTGAATAAATGAAGGTTTATTTGACCATGTGTGTGTGTGTGTGTGTGTGTCAGGATGGTCACTGTCTCCTGGGACAGGATGATGGTGTCCACAGACGTGGAGACAGGACAGACTCTGGTAACTCTTCTTCTTCTCTCTGTCTGCAGTAGTTTTTTTGAATGATGACCGAAACCAGTTTTTAAACCAGTTTCCTGATTCAGAGTTTTTTATCTGAACATTCATTTTTAACTTTGTGCCTGTTGTTGTTTTATGATTATTTCTGTCAGTATGACGTGTTGAATATAATAAAAGGTTTTGCTTGAGGAGGCCTTAATAATGACGCCTCCTTGTTTCTGTGATCATTGGGAGAGTCATCGTTCATATTGATACAGCTTAGTATCATAATATTTTTGTGTGGCAGTATCGTATCGTCACACAGTGCTAAATATTTTTTATCATATAAATTATTAATATGAAAAAATACAAATCAAACTTTAGTTAGCTTACGGGAATAATGTAATCAAATGCTTTTGTCAGTTTACTACATACATGTTGCTGCTGCTGCAAAAAAAAAAGTCTGACGTGATGAACAGACTGAAAACTTTCTTATTAGATAAAACAGATGTTGACAAAGTTTTCCTTTATAATCCTTTATAATGATTATTAATCATTATTAATCATTAATCCTTTATAATGATTAATAATTTACAGTTAAAAAAGGTAATAAATCTCAATATATTTTATAGTAATACTCAGCATATCACAACATATTTAAAACCACTATAATATCGTATTGTGGATCCTCTGGTGATTTCCACCCCCAGACATTAACTGAAAGTGTCTCTGTGGAGTCTGTGTCCCTGATCTTCTTTTTTATGGGCTTCAGGATGAATCCATTAATGGATAAAATAATTGATAGATTATTAGCTAACAGAAATAAGTGTTGATAAGATGCAGCCCTTTACTCTCGTCCTGACAGACTGATATATTGATGGAGACAGATATTAATATTGATTATAGTCTCTGTATTGTTGGACAGTGGAGGTGCAGGCAGGACGGCCTGCTGACCTCCTGCAGCTCATCGTCTGACAGCCGGCTGCTCGTCTGTGCTGCAGATCCACAGAACGTCGTCTCCATCAGTGACGCAGCGAGCGGACAGACGCTGCTCCGCCTCAGCGGTACGACAGCTCACACACTGTCTGTGTCAGTGACACTGTTCAGAGTCAGTGAGTGAAGGCGCGTTTGTTTCATCTGTCACAGATCACCACAGCACCACCATCACACGGTGTCGCTTCGACCCTCAGAGCCAGCGAGTGGCCACGGTGTCCGGAGACCGCCGCATCAAACTGTGGGACCTGCTGGCTCAGAAAACCACTCTGTCCATCAGCAGGTGAGACATCACACCTGAGACACGTCAGCTGTTTCTGGAGTCTGCTTTTATTTTACTCAACATGACCTCACTGACCTCCAGCCCCTCATTTCTGTCTGTGATCCCGTGAGTCAGATCCTCAGATTGATCCCAGTCTCATGTCTGTCTGTTAACTATGGACCTACAACCAGCAGCTGTTAGCTTAGCTTAGCATAAAGACTGGAAACAGGGCGTCATCCATATTCTCCCTTCCCCATTTCCTGTCACTCTCCAGCTGTTCAATAATAAAAGCAAAAGCCCTAAAAATTAATATATAAAAAAAGAGGAAAAAACAAACATTTGGAAAACAGCTAGCTTAGCTTAGCATATAGACTGGAAACAGCTGGAAACAGCTAGCTTAGCTTAGCATAAAGACAGGAAACAGTGGGAAACAGCTAGCTTAGCTTAGCATAAAGACAGGAAACAGCTAGCTTAGCTTAGCATATAGACTGGAAACAGCTGGAAACAGCTAGCTTATCTTAGCATAAAGACAGGAAACGGTGGGAAACAGCTAGCTTAGCTTAGCATAAAGACAGGAAACAGCTAGCTTAGCTTAGCATATAGACAGGAAACAGTGGGAAACAGCTAGCTTAGCTCTGTCCAAAGATAAAAGCAGCTCTTCTACAGCTCAGTGATTAAAATATGTTTGTTCTTCAAACAAACTGAAGTGTCATTTTTGATCGTTTCTTCTTCTGTCCTGTGTTGTTATCGTCCTGTCTCTATTTATGTCTCTCAGTAACCATAGAAACAACGTCTCTGACTGCTGCTTCACCAACAACGGACACTTCCTGTGCACAGCATCATGGGATTTGAGTTTAAAGCTGTGGGACCTGCATGCAGGAGGGTTTCGATCTCGCGGTGGAGCGACGCTGCAGGGAGGCCATGACGGCTGCGTGAGCTCCTGCAGCTTCTCTGCTGATGGTGAGTCCTCTGAGCGACGTCTCAACGGGGCGGTGATGGCGAGGCCTCTGAGTAATGCTTATTCTAGTATGTTTAGATCAATTTTTTTGTCCACCAGGATTCAGTATTTCTCCAACACAAGTCTTCTCTTAGCAGCATGTCGAGGTTTTGAGTTAGCAGAAAGACGCTTTATGTTACAGGTCCTAACACTTTTGTTGGACGTTTTCTGGAACATATTTAAAATATATAATCTGGTATCAACTGTAGTGAGAAAAGAGATGAATATCTGAGACTGTTATTTCAGTCAGTTGTATTTTATGTGTCTCAGTTGACTTTGTCTCAGAAGCCTGGAAAAGAAGATTTCTCTGAATGTTTTCGACAGTGAAGGTCTGGAGATTTGACTGTGAGATACTTTTAATGTTTTTTATCTGAAAATATATACAGAACTCTCTCTCTCTGGCTCATGTGACTTCATGGTGTCATGTAAAAGTATTCAGGCTTTGCAGGAAACAGAACTGAACGACTAACTATGAAACATTCAGTGACATTTTTCAGAGACTTATTGTCAGTGGAGTTCAGGTGTCATCAGTAACTGTCAGTGTGCAGTCAGGGGTGGAGGGCGTGTTTGGTTTGTTGAAGTCTGATTTTTTTTCTGCTTTGTTTAATAAAAACACTTCCTGTTGTGTGCCCACAGCCGACCTGCTGGTGTCTGGCTCCTATGACAGGGCTGTTGCACTCTGGGATATGCCCTCCCTCTGCCAGACTCTCATCCTGAAGGTGACTAAACTCTGCTGCACACTTGACACATCCACACCCAGGGCTGCACCCGACCCAGGATTATGTCAGTCCAATCAGAGTCAGCTGTTTAATATTAATAATCAACAATTATTTTTTTCCTCCATATAAAGTCTGCACAGGGCTCAGCGATGTTTAGTGTGACAGCAGCATCATGCGATATAGTAAACAAGCTCACACCAGATATCAAACTAAAGAGACTGTCATATTAAATTGATGTAAGCTGCAAGATCACCACTTCTCAGCAGAAGAGAGAGGATGATGATGTTATCTCAGAAAGTTTCTCCTCCTCTGTGCCGCTGCATCGTGTCTGCAGCTGTAGAGTAGTGCGAAAGTCAAGAGCGCTCACTCTGCAGCAAAATCTGGGGACCAAAACGTCTCCAGAAGAACACTGCACACTGAGTAGCAAAAACAACAACTGCTCGACTTGAAGCGGAGCAGCCCTGTCAACAACAATCATTTATTGTGTTGTTTTTTAACGCTAGGTTCATGTTTCTGTTCTCTGTGTCACAGGGCCACAGTGATTGGGTGACTGATGTGTCAATCAGCTCTGACAGGAAGTTGGTGGCCTCTGCCTCCAAGGTACCGTATGATAGCTGTCACGTTAAACACAGCTGATATGAATTAACCACTGGAAAGATTTTTAATAAAACCAGGATGTCTCTGCAGTAAAACAGACACCAATACTTTTGAAACTGATGCGACACAACCAGAGGACCCAGCAGGGGGTTCATTTACACACACACACACACACACACACACACACACACACACACTGTTATGATACAAAGCTGAACTGTGTGCATGATCTTCAGGATATTTTTATTCAGGTATTTTTAATTTTGTCTGTAAAGCAGCGTCTAACTTTAGTCAATAGAGCGTGAAATAAATAAAGTTTATTATGATCATATGAGCTGTTGAGAAGCAGTGACATCACAGCTGAGTGTCTCGTGTGTGTGTGTGTGTGTGTGTGTGTGTGTGTGTGCAGGATGGGACTGTGAGGTTGTGGAACATCGAGAACATGGAGGAGATCCCAGAGGTCATGAAGAAGAGGAGCACAGAGGGAACAGGAGTCCACATCCTGCAGGTGAAAAACTGTTGTTTACCGTCTGTTTTGGAAACGCTGCGTTCACTGTATGTCACTGTGATGTAATGAGACATGATGAGTCATCGTTGGCGTGATGTTGGCTGGCGTCAGCGCTGACCTCAGTGTCTGCTTTCAGTGTGAGGAGTGTGGGAAACCGTTTCCAGTGTCCAGACTACAGACCTCCGAGCTGCTGACTCAGTGTGTCGTCTGTCGACTCAAATCACCCTCCAGGTACCGACCGCAGCCTCCGTCGCTCATGTGACTTCCTGTCCAGGAGGTCAGAGGTCAGCAGCTGGTAGGGACTCGACATCTTTCTGGTGGACACTTACTCAGGCTGTGATGATGATGACAATGATGATGATGACGTGGACATTTTAATAACCAGACTAGCGGTCTGATGTCCTGCTGCTGGAGGTTTTTAACCCCACAGTTACAAAGTTCTCAGCAGTGTGAATAATGTTAATATTGTTACTTGTTGTTAATAATAAAAGTGATCAGGTTGTCCTGAGGGTGGCGCTAAAGGTCATTAAAATGTAAAGCTTTCATTACATGTTTCAGATTGATGTTTTGTATAAACGACACTTTGACTGAATTCAAACAAACTTTTATTATTTTGCATGAACTACATTCATAAACTCTTCACACATTCTTCATTTCCTAACAGAGAATATTCAGAAAGTTCTTCTTCACATTAAAAAACAGTCGTGTGATCACGTCTCTCTTCAGCCGTCACTCAGACAGAGACAGGAAGAAGCATAAATGTCTCGTCAACCAGCGCCATCAGGTCACATCCAGGGCTGCAGCCATGAGTTGTTTAATCGTTAGGAAATTGTTCTAAAACTATTCTGATCATTAATGAATCATTTTAATCATTTTATAAAGTAAAAAAAATCTAATTATTCTCTGATTAGCTGCTTTTCTTTGTTTTATGTGATATAAAAGTTAATATGTTTGAATTTGGACCTTTGAAGGGATCACTGCAGGCTCTGGGGAAATGTGACGGACATTTTTAACTATTTCCTAACGTGTTTTAGACCAGTGATGAATCCATTAACTGAGAAAAGAATCCTCAGATTAATCAATAGTTAGCTGCAGATCGAATCTCATCCATCACTCATTACTAACGTGTGATGGAACAGGGCACATAAGCTAGACCTCAGCAGTGATGACTTCCTGTCACTGACAGGTGAGAGGTCAGCTGTGCAGCGGCGTGGCTAACGATACACTTCCTGTCTGAGACACAGAAGTTACAGATCGTAGCTTTGACTGAAGAACATTTTGTCCTGTTAGACGAACGTGTCCAAAACACAAAGTTCATCCTCTGAATGAGCTTCATGATGAACACACAAAGTGTTGGACGGACTGACGTGGACATCAGCTGTTTCATGTTAAAGCCTGGTCACATGATGGAGCCGTTAAAGCTCTGTGCATCAGAGCTTCAGATCCGTCACGTCACACCACCCATCTCTGAAGAGGAGCGTTGGTTTTAGTCTGCAGAGCGTCTGTGTGACATCAGAAGGTGCTCTGCAGCAGACAGTGGCAGCCGCAGCCGGCCGGACACTCGTCCTGCCGACGGAACCAGTCCATCATGTGACTGGTGTGTCCTCCGTGACCACAGCTCAGGCAGAAGTTGGAGGAGCCTCGAACGGCCACGTGACAGATGGCGCACTGGAAGGTCAGACGCTTACAAACGGCACACTGAGTCCCACGAGCCTGACTGCGACAGTGACAGCAGTAAACACCAAACTCTGCAGAGAGACAGCAGAGTGTCAGCGTCAGCAACAACACAGGGTCTTTATGAGAAAGATCAGATCAGCTGATCGATCTGCTGATAATCCAGACGTCTACATAAATACGTTTGTCAGATTTTTATTTGGCCTCAGTGCAGAAAGTATGAATTGGGCCTTAGCGAGCTAACAGTGCTAACAGAGCTAACAGTGCTAACAGTGTTAACAGAGCTAACAGAGCTAACAGTGCTAACAGTACTAACAGAGTTAACAGTGCTAACACTACTAACAGAGCTAACAGTGATAACGGTGTTAACTGAGCTAACAGTGCTAATGGTATTAAAAGAGCTAACAGAGCTAACAGTGCTAACAGAGCTATCAGTGCTAACAGAGCTAACGGTGTTAACAGAGCTAACAGTGCTAACATTGCTAACAGTGCTAACAGAGCTAACAGTGCTAACAGTGTTAACAGAGCTAACAGAGCTAACAGTGCTAACAGTGCTAACAGAGCTAACAGTGCTAACAGTGCTAACAGAGCTAACAGAGCTAACAGTGCTAACAGAGCTATCAGTGCTAACAGAGCTAACGGTGTTAACAGAGCTAACAGTGCTAACATTGCTAACAGTGCTAACAGAGCTAACAGTGCTAACAGTGTTAACAGAGCTAACAGAGCTAACAGTGCTAACAGTGCTAACAGAGCTAACAGTGCTAACAGAGCTATCAGTGCTAACAGAGCTAACAGTGTTAACAGAGCTAACAGAGCTATCAGTGCTAACAGAGCTAACAGTGCTAACAGTGTTAACAGAGCTACCAGTGCTAACAGAGCTAACAGTGCTAACAGAGCTATCAGTGCTAACAGAGCTAACAGTGCTAACAGTGTTAACAGAGCTAACAGAGCTAACAGTGCTAACAGAGCTAACAGTGCTAACAGAGCTAACAGTGCTAACAGAGCTAACAGTGCTAACAGAGCTAACAGTGCTAACAGAGCTAACAGTGCTAACAGAGCTAACAGTGCTAACAGAGCTAACAGTGCTAACAGAGCTAACAGTGCTAACAGAGCTAACAGTGCTAACAGAGCTAACAGTGCTAACAGAGCTAACAGTGCTAACAGAGCTAACAGTGCTAACAGAGCTAACAGTGCTAACAGAGCTAACAGTGCTAACAGAGCTAACAGTGTTAACAGAGCTAACAGAGCTATCAGTGCTAACAGAGCTAACAGTGCTAACAGTGTTAACAGAGCTACCAGTGCTAACAGAGCTAACAGTGCTAACAGAGCTATCAGTGCTAACAGAGCTAACAGTGCTAACAGTGTTAACAGAGCTAACAGAGCTATCAGTGCTAACAGAGCTAACAGTGTTAACAGAGCTATCAGTGCTAACAGAGCTAACAGTGTTAACAGAGCTAACAGTGCTAACAGAGCTATCAGTGCTAACAGTGTTAACAGTGCTAACAGAGCTAACAGTGCTAACAGTGTTAATAGAGCTAACAGTGCTAACAGTGTTAACAGAGCTAACAATGCTAACAGTGCTAACAGTGTTAACAGAGCTAACAGAGAATTCCTCTGTAAAAATTCTGACTTATCATTTGAAGATTATCAGAATAATTTTGTCTTATTTGACTTGTTTTGATCATTTCATAATAACTGAAGTGTCTGTAATAACGGTGTAATAATCATGGCGGTGGCTCAGCAGGTGTTGGTGAGGTGAATGTGAAGAGAACAAACGTACCGATGCCTTTGTGAGGTTCAGGAGGACACGAGGCGAACTTCAGCACGTCGGCTCTTTTCTCCCTCAGACCCCAGCGGTACAAGATCTCACCGTAACACTTCTTGAAGTCATCAAACTGCAGCGTGTTGGCGGGGTCCAGCAGTCTGCAGGGGACAGGAAATGACATCACAGTAACAACACAAACCAGTCACACCAGTTCTCCCACTGCCCTCTGTATAGAAAGGCCCACGTCTTCACATAAACAGATGACAGATATTTCACTCTGTGTTTCAGCTTCTCGTCCACAAACACAAAACTCAGATTTTTGAAAACATCTTCTGAGCTGCAGATTTTTCTGAACTCTGGTCACTGAGTCTCAGAGTGGACATGTAAAAAGGAGCACTTGGGAAACGATGACATCATCTCCTCAGATCACACATGCCCTTTGTTGCTTTGTGTAATGAGCACGCTCCAAAACCAACAACACCAGTGACCACTGTCACAGAAGAACGGAGGCGTCTGCTGCGCCCGGTGTTATTTGGTCCACTTCAGCATTCGTGGTTTAAAGTTTGCCAGAAATGACGGTTTGGATCTTTCTTCTCTGGTATTTGACGTATTGTTTACATCACCTTTATCGCCACCTGCTGGCCTGGGGAGCGTTAGGAGTCGTTTTTGTGTTCTAGTGTGGGCAGATTTATTTATTATCTCTTTTTAAAAACATTCATACTCATCTAGACGGGGCTTAAAGGTTCGTCACCTCTTGTTCATGTCGTGCTGCTCTCGCTCACGTTCCCGTGGATCGGTGTAGGCCTGGTTGCCATAGCGATAGTCATCAGGAGAGGACTCGCCCCACGGGTTGGTGTGCTCAGACTCTCTACCTGTAAACAAAAACAAAAACACCTGACAGGGCCGCAGAGAAATCTAAACTCCACACAGGGATGTGGTCACACAGCAGCCGGCCTGTGGGCGGCGCTGTGGAGTCTCACCTGTGTTCCAGGTGGTGGCGGTGATGGAGTCAGAGGTGCTGGAGCACGAGCCCGAAGTGACGGAGCTGGACGTGTAGCTAGGCTGAGACCACATCACACACATTATTACATCACTTCCTGTCTCCTGTCGGTTGTTCTTTATTTAAACATCATGTAGAGACAAAGTTCTGAAACTCAGTCATGTCTGTAGACCACAGCTAGGCTAACAGTTCCCCCTGCTTCCAGTCTTTGTGCTAAGCTAGGCTAACAGTTCCCCCTGCTTCCAGTCTTTGTGCTAAGCTAGGCTAACAGTTTCCCTCTGCTTCCAGTCTTTGTGCTAAGCTAGGCTAACAGTTTCCCTCTGCTTCCAGTCTTTGTGCTAAGCTAGGCTAATCATGTTTCTGCTCTGGATGCTGCGAGTTATCTTGTCTGACACAGACACTGATGTAAACAGAGAGGACTTACGTATCGTGAGTGGTGGGGCGGGAACATGGAGGAGCGTGACGGATGATGTCCGTACAGAGAGTAACTGTCGGGGGGCGGAGCCTGAGTTCTGAACACGCTGCACAGCATGGCCAGAGTCTGAACGTCACTCATGTGACTGTAGTGATCCAGACTGAAGGTTTGAACACACAGAAACAGGTTTCAGTTTGAGCTCCTCGTTCAGTCTCATTTAAGGTGAAACATCGGCTTTGTTCCTCTGTATGAAACATGTTTTCTGTCCTGCTGCCTCTAAAATATTCTCTCGGTCCTGTGAAGGAGTGTTAAAGAGCCAGCTCCATTATTTTTGCGGTCGTTACATCACTGTAGCTTCCCAGTAGTGTTCCTCATGTATTTAAATTCAAACTTCAAAATTTTGATTGAAGTACATTTTAATGTTTTAAGAACGCTGCAGCTGATGAGGAACTTCCTGTTGAAGCTGCTGTCACGTCAGTGTACCAGAAGAACGATCAGCTGCACAAGGAGCTTCTGTTGAAAAGAACGTTTTGTCAAATGTTTAAAACACCAGTTGATCTCTGCACGCTGTTACATCTGTCCATCAGTCAAGGGTTATTTTTCCCACCTGACGGACCATCTACACCGCCCAATCACTGGTCCCTCAGCGCTCTGTTACATGTTGATAACCTGTTGATTTCACATCGGTGATTCATGTGGTGATGTCAGGATGTCAGAGATCAGCTGGTTGTGACTCTGATTAAAAACATGTGATCGGACTGAGTTCATAAACTCACAGAGTCTCCAGCAGGTGGCGTCCAAACGGGTGTCTGGCCCAGGGCGTCTCTGTGTCCGGGTCTGAGTCTGGACTCAGGTCCTGACTGGTCGCTGCAGACGCCAGCGCCCACACCTGAAAACACACAGACATAAACACGTCACACACAAACACAGACTCTAACACAGGTCGGTGACCTTCACAATCAAAAGAGACAAAATAATCTGCCTGGAGCTGCAGAACATATTTGAGCCTCAGAATGATGCAGCAGTCTAAATACACACATCAACATTTGACCACAAGGTGGCACTATGCAGCAGGCTGTTTATGATTGTTTGGTACTTTAACTTTGCAGGGTTGGTGGGAACAGCAAACAGATGTGTCAGCGCACTGTTAAATTCTTTATTGTCCTCTGAGACTTTTTTCAATCTAGAATCCATAGCTAGCTCAGCGAAGGAGCTCCAAGACAAGTCTTAACTACTGAGGTGGTCGTCGACGGCAACAGGCTGTATGACACACACTTAGTGAAATGTAAAAACATTTTTTTAACTCAGTGAATAGGCCACAGCTTTTTACAATAGAGAATGTAAGAATCATTTAAGACCTACAACAATGAAAAATGATTAAAATGTTAAAAATAGCCGATAATAATTTCTATATCACTTCTTGCCAAAGCCACATGGAGCCAGTGGAGAGGTGTGACAGAGCGTGATGAGGTCCTGGAGCCACAGGCTGCCGACCCTGCTCTCATACCAACACTGATCATAAAACAGCAGCAGCACAGAGAACATTCAGAGGATTCACACTCAACATGCACTGAGCTGGAAAAAAGGAAATTATTTAATTTACTTTGAGTGAATTCTCATGTTTCTCATCCTCAAACTCAAATATCTTTTTAGTTTTCTTTATTTCATTCAGAGGAAATAAAAGATAAAATGGTAACCTTCGCCACGTCTCTGCGTCCGACTGTGAGCGACGCCGCTGCGTTCTTCTGACACGTTTCCTGGATGTCATTCATGTTCAGACTGAGGGACAGAAAACACCTGCAGATATTAACTGAAATACACATAAATACTAAACAAACGTTAATGAGTGTCAAATATGACTGAAGACAAAACATCTGACGGGTATTTTCTCTGTTAATAAAATATCATTTTGGCCAGAAAACAATAAAAATGACTGTTAATTTTTTAGACTTAATCTCCAGAACCAGTCGATCGATTAACGGACTGATTGTCTCGGCAGGTTTACGTCAGAGTGTTTGTGTGTCTCACATGTAGCTCTCTCCCAGAGCTTTGTGGACGGGCAGCAGACAGGAGATCTCCTGGATGATCACTTTCCCCGCCAGCTTGATGGGACGGTTGCCATAGTCAGTCCCCTCTCGCTTCGTCTTAAATCGGCGGGATTTCTGACAGACAGACAGACAGACAGACAGACAGGAGGAGGAGGGAGACAGCAGGCCGAGTGGAGACAGAGGACCACCTGATTAAAAGTGGTCTGGATGATAAATTACTGCAGGAGAGAGTTCACACTGCGAGACGCTGACTGAAGCTGGACCGAGCAGAGAATCAGTTTCTGTGAGCAGCTGTAACTCTGAGGGGACGAGAAACAGCTAAACAGAGACTGGATGAATCGTAACAAGATGATGACGGTTCATCCTCAGGGGACCATAAATGTCCTCAGTTCATTAAATTTGAGTTCAGTGGTTAAATTATTTTGCTGGTTGTCTCTCAGCAACTGTCCGTCTGTTTAACCCTTTAACACCTGAACAAACTGACTCCATTTCTTTTAAAAACATGGGAAGAAGGCAACCGGCAGCCAAAAAAGAAATCACCCAAAAAATAAGTAAAAAAAAAAGAAAAGTAACAAAGGTAAAAACAAACAATGTCATGACCTGGAAAGATGCTTCAAATTCTAATAATTCTGTAACATATTTTTAAAATGTAATAATAATAAATACTTATTAGAAATATAGTTTTCCCTCCTCCCAACTTCTTTTTTTTATGTTTATTTATTTATTTATTTTTTGCAATGTGTGGGACATTTCTTACCAAGTTGCTTGTTGCCTTTTTCCCATGTTGTTGAAAGAAATGGCGTCAGTGTGCTCACAGTTCAGAGGGTTAAATACCTGTGAAGGCGTCTGAAAGCTGCACACGGAGATGTGATGTCACTCTGGTTTCAAAGGGAAGACAGAGCTGTTACTCCAGGAGGTCAACAGCTGCTCATCAGAGGTTTACACACTCGTTCATTCGTCCCTGACTGACACTGCAGAGGAGCTGAGTGGGATCTGACCGCTGCAGGTCTGAATCACTGAATCAACTGTTGATGGTTCGACGGTGACAAAGTGTCGTCAGCAGTTTGTCTCTGAGCTCGCAGTGTGAACACACGGTTAGTTCTCAGTTCATTAACAAACTCAAATTACCTCCAGAAATGTTTCAAATTACGTTTAAACACACAGATAAGAGTGAAGACAGAAACTTACCTGCTGCTGTTAGACGTTAGTGAACATTAAAGCTTCAGACAGATGGAGAGCAGACAGGAAGTCAAGCTTAGTGGCTCTTGATTTGAATTGAGCTAACGATGCTAATCACCATGCTACAGTTTTTGTCTCCTGTGGAAACCACATGGGCTAAAGCTAAGCTAACAGTGACTAATAATGCTAATAATGCTAATCAGCCTGCTAACGTTAGAGGATAAATACTCTGAGCTGAGTGTTACTGCTGGAGAACGACAGGAAACACTGACGTTAATCAAACTAAAGTTAACGTGAGATAAATGTTTCTGTGATGAGAGACTCGTCAGTATGTGACAGCATGGATGTTGATGTCAGCATGTGGTTAGCTTAGCTTAGCATAAAGACTGGGAGCAGTTAGCTGTGAAAAAATATTTCTTGTTGAAGCTTCAATATATTTCTTTGGACTGTCCGATTATTTCTTGAAGACTTAAAAGAATTTGTCGCCCTCAAAATGACGTTTGTATATAAATGACTCGCCCTCACTGGGTGCGGTTACATGATGGCTTCTCATTCAGAATGAAATAAATCTGAATGAAATCATCATGAATTAAAGTCTTTCCAGGTAGTTTACATGAGAAATATTCATTCTGAATGAGGGTTTACACAGAGATCAGTTTAATCACCTTTATTCGGGTCTGTGCAAGGTTTGGGGCAGGGAAGGTTTCTGATTGGATAGGGGGCGGGGCAGATGTTACGTGTTTATGTTTACCGGAAGAAAACACTGTAGTCCTCGCTCCGGATAACAAGATGCTTGACGACGCCGTTCTTAGTGCCTTTTTCAGGCTTGTTTTGCTTATATTCTTGAAGCAGCAGTACGACAACAACCTTGTTCTGCTAATGCTTCGTCTGTTGAGGAGGAGAAGGGAGGTAGAAGGTCGAAGAAGGGAGATAGAAGACCGTGCTGTGGCGAATGGAAACCGGTGAGTGCAACGAGTCCGACTGCTCTATCTCAGCCCGTTGCTATGCGCGCTATATACGTCATGGCGCCAGAAGGGCAAGGAAACGAGCATGTGCAGAAAGACAGGAATGAACTTAAAGAGGAATGAGTGTATACAAGTGTGAGAAATTCTTTCATTCGGAATTAGAAACGGAATATTCCAGCCCCTTACATCGGATTGAATTTTCAATCGCATTGGCCATTTTCATTCTGAATTAGGTGTTTACAAGATCACTTGAACTTTCATTCTGAATGAAAAGGGAATTAAACTGTCCATGTAAACACACTCATTGTGGTCGTCTCTCACGCCTCCACCATGAACAAAGGATTCAAAAACTACTGAGATGTTACTTTACAAACTGAAGTGAACGGAGTCGACGTTTAACACCAGCAGAACTACATCAAAACATCAGATTACAAACTCTCACACAACTTGTGCAGAATAATCCAAGTCTCATTGATCCACTCTGATGATCAGGACCCTACACACACACACACACACACACACACACTCACACACACTCACACACACACTCACACACATGCATGCATTTTCACTTAAACATACAACCATGACTCCAGAAAAGTTAAAGACACTGTGTAAAACATGAAAATAAAAAACAGAATTAATTAAAATATCTTTGGACAGCATTACACTGATTAAAGTCAAAACAGATTTACACATCATTTTATTCTGTTTTTGTTTTATGGTGCGTTCGTTTTGTACTCGGAGGTCGGAAATTCCCAGTTCCCAGTTGGAAGTTTAAACTCAAACGCACCCTGAGATCAGATTTCCAACTCTGAAATTCGGAGCAACCGCATCAACCCCAACTTATGAATTCAAGATGGCTGCCGGTCACATACACAGTGAGTAAACACTCTGCTAAAGTACTGTTTACAGCAATTTTATCTTATTTGTTTCACATCAGGTCAGCCTCATCTGCGGCGTTCATCAGTTGGAGTGCGTGATGGTTTTGAAGCTGTCTATACTCTAAAGTGTGAGGGCAACAAAGGCTTTCTTGCGGACATCCATGTTTTTTCTGACTTGTCCACTGTTGTCAACTAGAATGCAAAAATTGTTGTCAACTCGGAGGTGACGTCATTCCCACTACCGACTTCAGACCTCCGAGTGCAAAACGAACGCAGCATTAAGCCACGTCCTGACTTTTATGGAGTCAGGGTTTAATTATTTAAAGCACTTCTGTATGAAGAGTCTCACACAAGGATGAGTCGTGCACCTGGATGAGCACGAGTGTTTGAATCGCGCTCCGTGAAACACACACGCAGAGTTCCAGTGTTTTAAACAGAAATATATAACACAGGGATGTTTCTTTAAAAATTTAATCACATCATCAGTTTTGACACTTTGTTTTGACATTTTCAACACTAACTCAAACTTTTCAGCTGCACCCTTCAGTCGATCTCAATTATGATTTCATTTATTCTTACATCTTTTATTGGTTTTAATTCCCATATGTTATTTATTTATTGTCCTCTTTTCTTTTAATTTAATTACACTTTATTTTTAGTTTTTTACTGGTTTTAATTCACGTCCTATTAATAAATACCTGTTGGCTGCTGATCTGTTATTTTAATTTCTATTTGTGCTTCTTTATGTTTTCTCTCATGTGTTTTATTTCTGTGTCCGTCTGATGTTTTATTTTAACTCCACCCACACAGTGTTTGAGTCACAGCTCAGCGCCGTCTGTGCAGCGGAATAAAATGTGCTTCATAAATAAAGTTTTATTTGCTGTTCAGATGCAGAACACATGATGTCAGTCCGTTAGTGGTGCAGCTCTCAGTCTGCGTTAGCCAATCAGTGACATGCAGAGTAGAGTTAGAGTCAGAACCGCTGTGGCGATGGAGGGACAGATGAGAGGAAAGAGGGATGGATGGACAGAGAGCAGTACCGGCCAATCACGGAGGGTTTGTACAGACCAGCGGCGGGAGGCAGAGATTGGGAGCTTCTGATTGGAGGAGAATAGGAAGGAGGAGGGGCCCACAGCAGCATGGGGGCAGGTGATTGGACGGAGAAAAAAACAACAACACAGGAAGAAAATAAAAAATAAAAACCAGAGGCCCATCAGGGAGACAGAGACGAGACGATGACATCATCAATCACATGACAGCAGAGTCAGGTGTTGTTGATCCATGTCAGTAACTCCGGCAGCGCTCCACATTCCCAGTGCCCCTGAACTACCCATCAGCTGGCTGTGTTTGCTGAGAAAGTGGACAGTGAAGGAGGCGGAGCTTCACGTGTCGAGGTCATGAGCGGCGACCTCTCATCACTCAGTTTGTATGGAAGCTTATCAATGACAAACGTACAGACGGCGAGCAAAGTCGACCAGTGATCTTTCTGTGACGTCGTGTTTGAAACTGAATTCAGACATTAAAGAGTTAAACTTAGTGATAAAATGAATTTAAAATGTTTAATAATAAACCAACAGAAAATTAATCTTAAAAGTGTTTTATTATAAAATGGAAGGAGCTGCGTCGGGTCTGTGAACTCACTACAGGATTTTTATTGTATTCTATAATCAGAATAAAATGTATTGCTGCAAAAGGTTTCGCGTTCAAGGTTGTGTGTGTGTGTGTGTGTGTGTGTGTGTGTGTGTGTGGTGCAAAACAATAATAATAATAAACTACTGTAAAAGTCAAAAACATAAATATAAAAAGAAAAATGACAATAAAAAATATGAAATAGATTCTGTAAACACACTGAAATACAAAAATATTGATCTTTCAAAAACAATTTATCAATAATGAAATTAGTTCTTTGTTCGAGCCCCGACTGTTGAACTAGTCTCTGCGTGCTCGCGTGTTCACACACAAACTGATGTGAGGTCAGATTTGATTTGTTCTCTGTAGTTTTGGCTTCAATGAACTTCCACACAGTTTCTACAGAGACGTCTCCAGAGCAGAGAAAGTGTTAATGAGAAACACTGAGTGTGTGCACACCGACCAACACAGACTCTGGTGCCTGTTAATGAATGGAGGACAAAAATGACTCAAGTATCAGTAAATAAATACAGACACAAAACATAAATAAAAATAAATAAATGCAGAAACCAAAAAAGAAATAATTAATAATAATTAAATGTTAATATTATGTTTTGTCTATGTGTTAATCAGGTGAGGGTTCTTTACCACTGCATTTATTTCTTTAGGTGCTGATTTCAACATTTATTCTTTTATTTATTTCTGTTGTTATTTATTGACGTGACGTTTCATCACTTTGTGTATTTATTCATTCATCAGTTCATTGATACTTATGTTATTTTTCATCCTCCATATTAATCCAGTCAGACGTCAACAAAGTCACCTGAACATTTCTGCTGCAAAACTTTACACATTAGTGAGTGTGTGTGTGTGTGTGTGTGTGTGTCTCACCCGTTCTTTATAGTAGAAGGAGGAGATGGACACGGTGTCTTTGTCGGAGCGAGTCGGGCTGCCGCTGTACAGACGCAGAGTGCTCTGAGACTCTGTGCGCATCTTCATCGGAGTCAACACTCCGCTGTGATAGGCCGACAGAGCGGACAGCGACCTGAACACACACACACACACACACACACACACACACACACACACAACAAATGGGTCCAGATGTGTTGCAGCTGAAGACAAACACTTATGTTCATGAGTATTAAAAACACAAACACTGCGTGTGTGTGTTCAGGGGTGTGTTCTAACCTGGGGGTGGGCTCAGTGGGCGGGACAGAGCGGTGCATTGTGATTGGTCGGGTGAAGTAAACCAAACAGCCGGTGCCACAGAAACGAGCGCCGGAGGTCCGAGGGAACGGGATGTTGGCATCCTGGGGAACAAAGAAGAAGCAGAGAGAGGGAGCTGTTTGTGCCCTTTAATGATTCATTAATCAGGATTCACACGGTCCTGGAAAACCTGGGAAAGTCCTGGAATTAGTCAAAATCATTTAATGTTTTATGAAGTCCTGGAATTTTTGGTGTGTGTAATGAAATAGTTACAGTAATCTGCTGTGGATAATCTCCCAGGTGACGTAACATAAGGGCGAATTTATTCTCTGACGCTGTCGATGAATGTTTTGTTTACCATCACGTGTGTTTCGTTATTTCCTCCCTGGGTCTGTCTCTCCCTTCCTGTTTGCCTGCTTGCTGAAATTATGAATAGTGTGAATCTGATGTGTTTAAAAACAGCGGGCTAATGGGGCAATGAAAAAAAAATCTTAATCATGGGTCCTGGAAAAGTCCTGGAAAAGTAATGAAATGTTGCTCATGAACATGTGTGAACCTGATTAATGGAAGATATTCTGGAAGATGTTCACAGCTTCTTCCATCAAACATGATTTTATTCATGCTGCTGCTGCTGCTGTGTTGTGTTTCGTCTGTTTGCTGTGAAGATCCTCAGAGTTTCCTGCTGCAGGAGAGACTGAACGTTTGTTACCTGATAGGATCCGTACGTGTTGGTGACCCGAGGAAACGCCTGCAGGGCCGGAGTGACCGGGTTGGACAGGACGAAGGGGCCCGAGGCCGGACCGTCCTCCTGCGTCTGACAGAGGAAACACGTCATCAAGATTAAACTGATGATCTGCTACACACTCTGACACCAGCTGTGTGTGTGTGTGTGTGTGTGTGTGTGTGTGTGTGTATCCCCTCACCATGTCTGACTCCAGACAGGACACCAGCTGTCGGACACACGGCTCCAGACAGTTCTGGTTCCTCTTCACTTTCTGCAGCGACGTGTCGGTCAGAATCTGAACAACACACAGAGTGTCATCATAATCATCATCATCATCCTCACAAACATGTTTTATTCTTGGAAAACAAAAAACAGGAACAAGTTTTAAATGTTTAAGTCAAAGGTAAAATTTACTTTAACAAAAGAGTGTGCTGTGGTGCATTTAGGTTGCCTGTAAATATTAGCTCTTGGCCTGTTTTTAGATTTTATTTTTACAGCAACAAAAAGATCTCTTCATATCATATTGTGTCGGTTTATATTGAATATTTAACAAAAAAGGTCAAATCAAATTACACAGACAGGCACTGTTACTTCTAGTTCGTCATTATTTTGAAGATTTTCACATTTTAAAGAAATTAAGTCGTTCAGCAGCAGAAACTGCTTAAATAAAAAATAAGTAAATGACCTGCTGAATTAATATGCCATTAAATATATTGAATAAATAAAGCAAATTAAGCAGTAACTGGTATAACTTAATATTTCTCTGGTAGTTTCTGTCTTTATTTACTTTTCTATTTCATTTTTATTGATTTTTAAATGTTTTTTTGCTTTTAGAAAAAAATATTTTAATGTATTTATTGATGTTTAAATATCTGTATTTAGTCTTTCTTTATCATCTTTTTTGTTTTTGTTTTGGCAGCTTCCTTCTTCCATAATTTTTTGTGTGCCATGGTGCGTTCAGGGTCGATGGTACCTTCTGGATCTTGGTCTTGGTGGCGGAGGGGATGGTCGTCGGGGAGACGAACTGGAAGGTGGGCGCGGCGTTGTTTGGATACTGGGCGGGGAACTTGACCACCAGATGAACCTGATGGCTGCCGAAGTGAGCCGACACCACGCAGCTGCGGTTCAAAGCGTCCATCTGCACAAAACAACACAGCTCAGTCTGATGTCACTGAACACACCGTGGTCATGGAATTATACTCAGTTAAATAAAGTTTTCCTTCTGAAGTGATTTACAGGCGATTATAAAAAGTCTGAGAATCAGAGGTTTTGAAAACAGGAAGTTGCTGTGGAAAAAGAGACAGAAGAAGAAGAAGCTGCAGATCAGCCTGATGATCATAGATGTTCCAGTCTCACCTCCACGTTGACGTTTCTGATCTGCAGGTTGACCAGAGAGAACTCCTGCTGCAGAGTCTGAGGGACACCTGAACCCACCGCCGAGCTCAGAGCGCCGTCCTGATCTGAGGGACGACAGGACAGACGACAGGATGGAGGGAGGACAGACAGGACAGACGACAGGATGGAGAGAGGACAGACAGGACAGACGACAGGATGGAGAGAGGACAGACAGGACAGACAGGACAGACGACAGGATGGAGGGAGGACAGAAACAACCACACTCACAGTAAGAGGACAACATACTGTCTTTACGCTGTGCTGTTGCCAACGTACTCACATGTGATTTTGACAGTTTCGGTCAAAATAATAATAACAGTTATTTATTACAGTTAATCACTGGTTTTATGGGAAGTCGTTCAGTCTGCAGAGTTTCACGTCTTTAACCAGAACTCTGACTCAAGGTTTTTCTCACCCTGCAGGTTTTCAGCAGCAACGCCGACGCCGTATTGACTGTCGGGCTCCTGAGACGACAGAGACTTCTCCGACTCCATGGTGAGAGACATCCCCTCCATCAGGTCCTCCACCAAGTCACTGACACACAGCTGCACAACAACAACAACAACAACAACAACAACGACACACAGTCTGAAAATATAATTAAAATATCAAAAAAATATTAATCAAAATGTCCCAAAAACTGATAAAAAGTCTGAAAAATATTCCACCTTCTGCAGCTGAGGATCCACCCTCCATATCCTCAGAGTCTGATCTCTGGACCATGTGACCAGCTGGTAATCCTTCGAGCCTGAAACAAACAAACACAGTAAACAACAACAAACAGCTGATTTTCCCCAGGAGAGGAAAAAAAAACATCTTTCAGAAACTTTGTTTTCATCGACGCTCTTTGTAAATCCTGTCTGTGTTTGGAGGACGCTGAAGCTGAGCTAAGACCTGAAGGTTCTAAATCTCAGCGTGTGATTGGTCACCTTCTTTCTGAGGCCTCCACTGGAACTCCAGCACCACGTCATCGTGTCCGACGAAGGCGTGAACGGGACTGTTGAGGTCGAGCGTGCTCCACAGCAACAGACTGTTCTCTCGCCTCAGCTGAGGAACCATCACTGTGACCAGACCGTTAGAGAACGGCTGATGGCGAGACAGACAGAGACAGGACACAAGAGACAGGAGACAAGAGACAGGACACAAGAGACAGGAGACAGAGACAGGAGACAAGAGACAGGAGACAGAGACAGGAGACAAGAGACGGGAGACAGAGACAGGAGACAAGAGACGGGAGACGGGAGACAGAGACAAGAGACGGGAGACAAGAGACAGAGACAAGAGACAGTGACAGGAGACAAGAGACAGAGACAGGAGTCGAGAGACAGGAGACAGGAGACAAGAGACAGCAACAGGAGACAAGAGACAGAGACAAGAGACAAGAGACAGCAACAGGAGACAGGAGACAAGAGACAGGAGTCGAGAGACGGGAGACAAGAGACAGCGACAGGAGACAAGAGACAGAGACAGGAGACAAGAGACAGGAGTCAAGAGACAGGAGACAGGAGACAAGAGACAGCGACAGGAGACAGGAGACAAGAGACAGAGACAAGATACAGCAACAGGAGACAGAAGACAAGAGACAGAGACAGGAGACAAGAGACAGGAGTTGAGAGACGGGAGACAAGAGACAGGAGACGGGAGACAAGAGACAGCGACAGGAG